TAAAGCTGAGTACAAAAGTTTACAAGAAACCATCTTTCATATGACTTTCTCAAGAGAAAGTTTAGGCCTTTCTCAGTTATTGCAAAATGTTTTACCCGGTTTTTCTTCAGGAACATGATGCAAAAAAGCGAATTGTTTAACTCATAATGAGTACGTACCAGGAATAAAAAAATGCATCAGAACTACTAAACGAGAAGTTAGATAATTAATTCAAGCGATTTGGCGCCAAACGAGCGTTTGTGATTCGCGCTCAAGTCTATTTCTGTCCCACTTGGCGGAATAATTATAAGTAGGACTTCTTTTCAATAATTATGCAAGAAATTCCGTGTTTTCTTTCCATTATTTTTGAGAAAAGCGAGCGCTCTACGTAGAATTTTAGGCATGGCAGCCTACTTGGATTTCTATTGGCCAGCGTACGAAACGAATAAAATAAACGTGCGTAGACACGAGTGCTCTATAAAATAAATTAGAAAAATCGTAGCTGATTTATTCAGTATATGAAGAGAAAAATATTCTGAATCGAACTGTCGATTCAGATTTTCGAGACCTGCGCGCGGGCTGGGATCCCATATCGAATATGAGAGTCATCTATTATTCGCGTTCATAATAGTATACTTTTTAAGCAATAGTTTTTTTCCCGTTCTGTAGGGTGTGATGGATCGATCTGTAGAAGTACCGAAAATTCGAAAAATATAAAAGTGGTCGGACAGCATAAAAAAGGTCGACTTTCATCCGTTCACAGAAAAACTAGATAGGTTTACAAAATTGTTTATGAACTTTTTACAGGGTGAGTCTAAGACGTCCATAATGAATGAGCCTTTACTTCGACCTGGATCAAGCATCAGTCTCACATTCAGTTTTTGATGCTGAATCCGAACAAGATACTTTCGAAAAGTTAGAAGAACGAAACGGACAAAAATTTGAATTATTTTTGAAACTGAAGGGAAGTTTTGGTAAAAATCAAATTTTTTTTGATTGTTTCAGTATACCAAAAATTCTGTTTGGAGTTTTTATAGAACAAGTCTTCCTCTATCTATCCAGAAAGGTTGGTAAAAAAAAAGTGGCATCCTGGGAGATCATTAACGATCAAAGTGCTGGGGTAGCGACATTTAGACTGCGAAGTTATGCTACTATATAGCCCAATATCAGTTGTATACGTGATGAAGTTTTCGTGGTTATAGATAGCATGGTTCGCAAATGGGATCGATAGTAATATCACTAATTTATACTAATTCACCATCAAAAAAAAAACATGAAGTTTTTAAAATTGAATATCTACATGACGAATTGACTTGGAAAGCTGCGGTTTACGGCAAAAAGATAGAAATAAGCTATATTTTCCATCAAGTAAAAATAATTAACCTTAGAGAAAGTTACTTGAGCACTTCCGGCATCGCTTACATGCAATGGCTCTTAAGTCATTGATGGAGTTTTCGAATAACTCAGACATTTAACAATACGATTCGATGATACTTTTAAAGATTGTTTAAACAATAAATATTTCGTTATTTTGCGGGTTTTTGTTCCAAGTTTGTCACTGTTATCAACGACTTTCAAAAAGTAGACAAATCACCAACTTAAGTCTTCTCGTAATACGGTTTAAGACTCCGGACTTAAGTCGATCCTAAACTTAGACCTAAATCACGACTTAAGTCAATGACTTGAGGTTTTTCGTAATACGACCTCACAATAATAATTTGTTTTTACTTTAGAAATAAGCATGAGAACGAACTATTTGCTAAAAACGTGCATAAATTAATAAACTAATGTTGAAAATATAATTAGTAGTCGGTCACTTCTCACAGATTTTTCATGTCTTAATCATGATCTCTATTCAGATATTGGACACTCTGAAAATTAACAAAAACTGCTTCCTTCATTTGTTTTTTAACATTCATATTTTCAATCGTTCTGTTTTGCTTAAAATGCTAGGAACAATATACAGCACATACCACCGACAGAGATGGACGAGTACGAGTATACTCGACTACAAATTTTCTCACGGCTTTTTTTAATGTGTACTCAAAAAAGTACTCGAGTACTCGAATGAAAATCTGTTTAACTAAAAAGATAAGAAATTCAGAAGAGATTGATCGATTTACTATCATCACATGAAAAGTTTACCGATGACAATCGTGTTGTTGTTTTTAAAAATTTGTACTCGAGTAAAATTATTTTGTGCTCGTAGTCATACTCGAAAAACTGTGTACTCGCCCACTTCTGACCACAGGATCCACCACTGATTTCTACTCAGCGTGGGGAAATTTTTCTGATAGATAGTCTTTTTTAAGCAAGTGAAATATTTGTGTGTAATAGCAAAAGTAACTTCTTCCTCGAAAATTTCAAGAAAATTCTGACTTTCAGAACATTTTTATAGGTAAATGATCTTTTTTAACTTTAGTTGATGCAAATTCTACCATACAAAAGTCTAAAAACTATTGAATTTCTATCGACCACGTTGATTCTCAGCACATCATTATTATTTACAGTAAATTTTGCAAATCTCACGCTTTACTATCTAAGTAACAAACAATGAGTACATAGAGAGAGAAAAAGGCTTTTATTTTTATTTCCTTTCCTTTATGTATGTCTTATCAGCTTTTTGAAACTTATCTGAGCATATGTCTGCAAAAAGTAATGTTGTTGTCAAAATATCACTGTAATAAAAATAATAATAATGTTCAATACAAGAAAGATTTCAACAAGCGGTGACTCCATGTAAGTATCGTGAACTTCCTATCGAGATAAGATAGTAAAGATAAACTTTCGATAACTTTTTCTAACCATTATTAATGGCTAAAGACTTGAACTGAAGGAATTATATCTTCCATATACTCACTATATTTGAAAGAATTTTCTGTTATATAGCCTAATTTTATCGAAAATTGACTTTATTATGCAATGGTCGATGAAAAATCTTCATATGTTTGATTGATAATGAATTTTTATTTTATTTCTGTTTTTCTCATTTCTTAGACATAATGTGCATCCCACAGTAGAAAGTGTTATAGATTCATCTATAAATCAGATTAAAGTCATGAATTCGACCGGTGATGATAATTCTTATGCAAAGCTACCAGTTAATGACAACAATTCAAAAACTACCAGTGATAATGATTCAACCATAGTCACATTCCATAATATTAACTATAGCATCCGAAAACAAAAGTTCTGTAATTTGAAGAAGACGAACAAACAAATATTATCAGATATCACGGGAATATTTAAACCAGGAATGAATGCGATACTCGGTAAGAATTTTAATTTTACATATCAATCAAAATACATGCTCTTTTTTTCTTGTGTTTTCAGGGCCCACTGGCAGTGGTAAATCATCGTTATTGGACATTTTGGCTGACAGGAAAGATCCTCACGGTCTATCTGGGCAGGTGTTAATCGACGGTCAACCGCGTTCATCTGATTTCAAATATCATGTCGGTTACGTGGTTCAAGACGACATTGTGAGCGGAACATTAACCGTAAGAGAAAATTTAACATTTTCAGCAAGTTGTCGTCTACCATCTAAAATGAACACAACAGCTGAGAAAGAAAGAATTGTGAGTCAAGTTATTTACCAGTTAGGCTTGGAAAAATGTGCAGATTCAAAAGTAGGAACCGAATTTGTTCGTGGCATTAGTGGTGGTGAACGAAAACGAACAAACATTGGAATGGAATTAGTTTTAGAACCATCAATTATTTTCTTTGATGAACCAACAACAGGTATTTAACATATTTTTAGGTATTTTTCATCATTTGTTAAACATTACGTTGCTTATGTTTCATTTTTAGGATTAGATTCCTCAACTGCCCGTAATGTTATGGAATATTTATACGAATTATCCCGCAAAGGGCGTATGTATGTGCAGTGTTAGTGTTTCTAGATAACTTTTATTTTAACTCTCTATTTAGGTACAATTATATTCTCCATTCACCAGCCACGTTATTCTATTTATAAACTATTTGATGTAGTTGTACTACTATCAGCGGGTCACCTTGTTTACCACGGTCGAGCAAATCAATTGTTGCCCTATTTTTCGTCGATTGGATATGAATGTGAACGATATGATAATCCAGCAGATTTTATTCTGGATGTAGCACAAGGCGATAAAAGAACAATGAAATATCTTCCATCAATAAACATGAATGATGACGAGGGTAAAGATAGTGGATAATCTATCAGTAGAAGTTGAAATAACCGTTGTAAAAAGCCTTGAGAAAAGAAGTCTTTTAACATAAGGCATAGTTTGAACTAGGGCTAATCAGTTTTCTTTCAATTTTAAGGCAAAATTTTCACACTGAATTTTAACTATTGACTTTTACTTTTAGTGCGTATTCCAGCTGAAAATACTGATATTGACTTAGAGTTACAACAAGAAACAGCAGCAAAATATTTACATGACCAATACCTAAAATCCTCCCTATATCAAACTACTCATCAAGAAGTGAATTTATATTTGGAAAAATTTCAGCACGACAATCAACAAGACAAATCGTTGACAACAAGTCGACCTAATAAAATGGCGAAAAAATCTCGATTAAACGAATTTTATTACGTTGCACAACGTTTATTACGTACATTAGTTCGTAATCCAGCTCTCGTCATTATGCAGGCAATCGTCACAACGATATTTGCCATACTTGTGGGTCTTATCTATTTGAATATCGATCGCACAATCAATACGGGTGTCAAAAATCGAATTGGAGCAATATTTTTTATTATTATGAATCAAATATTTGGAAATTTATCAGCAATTGAATTATTTCTAAAAGAACGGGCACTATTCATGCATGTAAGTATATTTTGTTGAATTTAGTACAGTAAGAATTTGATTATCTTAATTTTTCTAAAAGGAAAATGCCAGTGGATATTATCATGTATCGACTTATTTTGCCGCAAAACTTCTTTGTGATTTAATACTCATGCGTGCAATACCAATCGTCTTATTTTCTGTTATAGTCTATTTTATGATTGATTTTCAACGAATAGTGGTGAAATATTTTATTTTTTTATTAAGTATATGGATGACATCGTTTTGTTCATGTGCATTATGTTTTTGTATATCAGCCAGTGTCAATGTATTTGGTAAGCGTATATTCAAAAATTTATTTATATTAAATGAATATTATTTTTGTTTATATTTGTTTAGGTATTGCTAATTTACTCGTGGCAATTTCCTATGTAATGATGATGGTATTCGGCGGTTTTCTAGTCGAATTAAATAGTGTTCTTAGCGTATTAGCATGGATTAAATGGTATGGGTAATGTTTATTATTGACTTTTTTGTTCACACTTATTATATTTACCTTCAATTACTAAGTATTATTTACTGTCTTTTACATTCATTTATTATGCAAACATTTTCCGATCTATTTTATAAATAGAGATTGTACTTTCATGAGACATGCACAAAAATTTATTGTGATTATTTTAGTTATAGTCAATATATTATTCGTTTTCTTTTATTATATTTTAGGGTGAGCATATTTCGTTATGCGTCGAATAGTTTACATGTTAATGAATTTAAAGGCCTCAAATTGTGTTCAATTAATGAAACGAGTGTGTGCACTTTTCCAGGTGAAAATATATTAAAAGAACGAGATATCGATTATGAACAAAATTGGGATTTATGGAAAAATTTTGTGGCTCTGGGTGCAATGGCTGTTATTTTATTTATATTGACTTATGTACAATTAGTTCGAATTAAAAAATTTAAATGATTTTAAAAACTATCAATCTTCTATTTAATTGATCATTTAAAGTTCTTTCAGCTACTAAATATTTATTTTCCAATTTTTCATGTTCGAAGTATTATGGTTGTTTTATTTTGCTTAAATAGACTGCGTCGAACAATGATATTTTTTAATAGTCTTGAAATGCGAATGACACAAATTTTTATTTGAGTATGGTAATTTATTTAATGTAAATTTAAATTGCATCTGTATTGTTAGTTAGCACTTGATTTTTTGTCTTTTTAATGTTAGTAATGTTAATAATGTTTTACATGTAAATAATAGATAGCAACCTCAAACTTTATTTAAAACACTTTTTATTGTATAAAGCTAATATTTGAACGACTGACTGATACGCTTGTCTTAAAAGAAACACGAACAAAGAATATTTATAAGGATCTTGAAACACATTACTATTATATTAATGTCTCTCTTGTGAGTTAATAATAGTCAGATAGTTATTTTTCTTCTAAATGATCTATGTTGTTTTATTGTAAGGATCCCGTCCTGTCAGAAATATTGATTTTTTTCATAAATAGTCGATATTAAGCTAAGTGGGTAGTTGAATAGTCCGAAATGTCTACTCTTATAATCCACACTGCTTTTGTCGATATCAAAGGTTTTTGCGGATTTTTGAAGAAGTTTTCTAAAAAATCCTAGGAAATCGATTTTTTTCCTGAAATTTTAATATTTTAGTAAAAATTCTTGAATGAAAAAGAATTTCAATCATGCCAGATCGTGGAATAAACACTTCTGGTTAAAATGGGATGTCACCAAACATTGAGAGATGCTTTGATCGAAAGTTATGACAGTTTAACTAAGAGCCTTAAAATGTATAACATATACTAGTGCCACTCACCCTACCTCAAAATCAATATTTGTCTTCGTAACTTCAAAGATTTCTTCTCCATGTCAAGATCTGAAAATCTCGGAGTGATCTTAAAATGTAGCCAAGACTTAGTTTTAGAGAACATAACAGAGCCCGGTTTTGGGTTTTCATTTGTCTCTGAGAAAAATGACAAGTTTCTGAAAAAATAAAGAAAAACTTCGCTAATTTTTCATTTTTCTGAGAGACAGAAACGAAAACCCAAAACCGGGCTCTGTTATGCTCTCTACAACTAAGTCTTGGCTAGATCCTGTTTTTTGTTGAATTTGTCTGACAACCATAACCTATAAATTCAAGAATTACATAGGTTAACTAAAGGGAGGTCGTATGGTCACCTACAACAGATCAGTAGTTTTTCTGCAGCAATAGAAGCACTTGAATGCAGTGGATATTGACCAAAATACTGTAGATCACTGTACGCTTGAGTGTTGGCAAAATATTTTTGTATAATTGTCTTCTTGGATATGTTTTTAATATAACTGGTGGTATCACAGCCAGAAAGTGCATGAAGAGCCAAGAGAATTGTTGGATTTGAATACTCCGCTATCTTCTGCAAAAAGAAATGATTCCAGATAAATTTTCTATAGTTTTTTTCTTGACAGAGTCTACCAAGGTCTTTTTGCACCATTTCTATTGCATGTATCTAATTTCTTTCTCAGCTACGACCCACAAATCGATTAGATCTAGTTATACGATTCTTTTTTTGGTACATAGCTGTCATCTACAGAAACGGTGGTGTTCTCACACTTGGTAATGCCAAAATCATACCTCAGCAATTTCGGAACAATTGACATATTGTTCTTTTTGTTGCTGACGACGATTGGCAAGAGTTGTTCGATCAATGAGTATGGACAGATTTTCAAAGTTGCTGCTGTACGAGATCGCGAGAATTAAGATGTCTATGTCACATGACTGAATAACCGCTGTGTTGTAGCAGCAAAACTCGTCAATATTTTTCATGTGAACAAATAATCGAGTGTCAACTTCGATGTGATTGGATTGAAGTAACATATCTTCTTGACATCCTTATGATGTTAATCGATAACACTTGTTATCATTTTTCTTTGATAAAGGTGTTGTGTTCTTGTTTTTTATATTCTAGTCTTGATGTTGGTTCTAAAGGATACGTGTTTTTCTTTCGACTGGCATGACGTTGAATAAATGATTTTGTTTCTAAATGTAATGGCGGTATTTAAAATCTAGCATACCGGTGAAATAATTCACTGACCTTTACTTTCTTGTGAATCAAAAAGAATGTCGACTCTTTCGTGCTGTGTTGATGTTCTCATAATTAAATTGAACAAATCGACGGCGTAGGAAGAAACTGTGTCATTTTTTGTCGGTGGATGTTGCAATAAAATTCCTCCATCAATTAACAGTGCAGATTTCGAGAATTGATCGTTTAACAGGGACAGGCCAGAACTGCGTGGAAAATTTTGCTGGAAATACTCAACGACTTTGCTTTTGTTTGACTGATTTAATAGGTTGGAGGAATCAGATAGCGAAGCCGGTACGGGAGAAAATTCGTGTTTTGAAAATTCAACGACTCGTATTTCGGGATTTTGTGTGCTCAACACCACAATATCGCGCAATTTCGATTCCAGATAGTGACGGGTCTACAATATTTAAAAACTACGTGATATTATCACATAGTTTAGGCAGTTATCTTGGTTAAACCACGATTACTACTTCGAGATACAATGGATAGAATGCAATTAGTGAACACCTACTTTTTTCTGTGCTTTTGGTTTGTTGAGTCCGTAAGTGTCTGTATCAATCAATTTCAACGTTTTCATCGTTTGCATTTTGGGATCGATATCAACTGTTCTGTCAATTAATTGCTCTTTAATGAATTTTTTCAGTTCCAGCTCGCCACGATCGAAACTTGAGCAAATATCATCTACAATTGCCTCATGAATTATCTTCCCAGAAAACAATTCAGTTAAATTTTGTTTATCATCGCGAAATAGTTTTTCTTCATTTAACTTTGTCACTATTACTTGTAAATCACGCATATCTAGTTCCAGTCTATTTTGTTGACATTCGATGTGACTGTCGTTGTCATTGGTCTCGATTTCGACGATGTCATTAATGGCGGAATAGATCATTGTCCGGAATATTAGCGTTTGACAAAAACTCTCTATTCCCTGATTACTGAATTTCTCAGACACGCCGTTCCTGCCTTTACCTAGAACAAATACCCTTTCATTGCATGGCCTCCTCTATAGCCTTCTGTAGTATCTCATACCTAATCGATTGATACTAGATTCTAACGCTTGATCAACCGGAATACTGGAAAACGGACGATCAGTACGTTTCACGACAAACGATTTTTCCAGACGACGAGAGAGTTGTTGCGGCATTCTCTGAAGATCGGCTAGATTTCTTGCCCCGAGTTTTGCATATTTTCGTCTATTATGAGCAAAAAATCGACTCCATGAAGAGTTTCTGGCCATGTAATTGCCACTCCGCACGGCAATCAACAGGGTTATACATGGTTCCAATAAGACTCTCAATACCCCGTACCCCTGACAAAGTAAAAAATATGCATTATCGATTTTTTTACCGGATTCTATTTTCTGTCTCATTTACAAAATTTAAAACTTGAAATTTGTGTTGATTTTTCGTCACAATAGCTACTTAATTTTGTTTCAAAATCTATCTCTTCTATTTTAGATTTTAATTTTGAAAACCATTGTTGTTTATGTTCATCGGTGGTGAAGAAGGTCGGTATTGTGCTCAATATCGACTGAAGAGATGGATCTAAATCCTTGTGCGACAAAAATTCATTCATACAATGAATGTCTATTGCTATATAAAGAAGTTTGACGGCTCGAATTGATTTATTAAAGTTGGTTACATCAATGATTGATCGGAGTGTCGCACCTTGAAAGATCATACCGAGCAATTCTTGTATTCCCGATCCATCACTTTCCATACCATCACCATATAATTTTTCAAGGCGTAAAAGTCACCCCCAATCAAATATATATTATCAAAGTCATGCTTGTCTTTCATCTTCGAAACAGACTGATACATTCCTTCATCCATGAAAATGATTGCTTCGGACTAAGAACGCTAGGAAGAAATAGAGTAAAAATGGCTTACAATTTCAGTTGTAGAAGAACAATAATCTAGATCAATATTTTCTTCATTGGATATATCTATATCAACAATATTTTGACCGAAATGTTGAGAATTTGTGTCATTAGCCTGTTATTAAAAACAAACTGTTATGATTCAGAAAAGGAATATAATTTTTTTCCTCACTGTCGAGAGATTCAAACGTTTTGTGATGTCACCTAGCATACTTCGTTGAAAAGAGGGACTTAAACCTACGGTATCGACAACGTTATTTGTTGTGTTTATATGATGCTGCAATATCCAAAGAAGTTTCAAATTTTTTTCGAGAAATTTGATTTTTCTGCTCACTTTTCCCACTTCAGAACAAAATAATGGCCCATTGTATGGTTTCGGCCTACTTCGACTATATTCTCGAAGTAAACTGTTATAGCATCGTTCATGAACCCAATTGTGCAGAAGATTTTCTTGTAAATCAGTGTGATACTTGTGCTTGTAACCGCGTTTCAAATGTTTCACAACCTCTTCACTGCTAATTTCCATAAATTTTCTCTTTCCTTCACGATGCTGACTTTTACAAAGTACACACGGTATTTGCTCACTCAGAGATTTTCGAGGATACATAAATTACATAAAACAGAAAAACAAGCGCAGAAAAAAACTCTAAGATTAAGACTGTTTTATTCACGAAAAGTGAGAGTCATCAAAGGTCACTGATCTGTAATAAATGACTCAAGACAAACAGCACAAAAAGAGTAATAAAAAATAACAAAATAAACAAGACAACTAGGGTTAGAACCAGAAGTAGTAAAAAAGAACAAATTTTTGAAAAAATATCTATGCAATTCTATCAATCTAAATGTTTAGCATAAGGTGCCAAAAGGTACAATCAGTGCCGTGGCGAGAGAAAAAAGCAGGAGGGGTGTGCATTTTTTCTGAGAGATCAACTCTAAAAAAAAAAACGCAGCTACCTTTCAACTCTAAAAAAAAAAGCAGCAGAATTCTAAGGAGAAAGGAAAAAATTATTGAAGAGAAAGGAAAAACTATTAAAGAGAAAATTTTTCCAGAAGCAGGGGGAGCTTACACCCCCCCCACACCCCCCCTTTAGCCACGGCACTGGGTACAATATATCGAAGGTAGCCGTAGCTAAATAAATCTTCTAACTTCATCTTGTATTAATTTATTTAGCAACACTTGTTCTGTTTGTTTCCCGCTCAAAAATGACAATCATCTCATTACTGGTCAAAATAGCATTTCTCTTTTATCTGATGACATCATAGACCACTCTTACATATTGAAGTTTATTTAGTATAAAAGAGAACTGATTCATTCAACCGCAACGAAATTAAACTGAACGTCTAAAGATGCGTGAATGGAAGCGATTTTTTCCAATGAGGTGATGTTTTTCATATGTTTCAACTCAGCTTCTTGGAATCGAATTGGATAAAATATTAATCCATTTTTTCGACATGGTTTTAGTACGGATTAAGTAGGTACACCAGTAAAAGTAAACTAATGGTAGCGTAGTACTTGACCTTCAGAGGTGATGACCATTAGTTGCACTTTACTTAGCTAATTTTTGACATGCAATTCTAAGTTGGATGTTCAGAAAAGGGCCTCTTTTCAGTTTCATAAAACCTCGCTGGGCGACGCTGGTGCCACAGCTAACGGAAAACAAGAAACAGCAATAGTGTGCATCTATTCGTCTACTTTAGGCTTCTAGAAATTTTTAGCTATCTATCGCTGCAAAGAAATCCACTTTCTGTTGGTAGCTCCGCTAAATAGTGAGAGTGAGAAAAATTTTGTATTTTTCGATTCGTGCAATAAGTTGTAGTGTAGTCATTTTTCAAAAAACGTTTAGATTTTGAGTTGAAATTAGTCTATTTTGGGCGAGGGTGACATGAAAAACATTTGCTTTCTTTAAATATACGAAAAATGCTGAAAGCCAGTGGAAAAAATTGAAAAAATCTGACTTCTTTTTTCTTACGTGATTTTCAGCATTTTTCGTATATTTCAAGAAAGAAAGCGTATTTTTCGAAAAGAAAAAAAGAACCCGAGATAGGGTCTGAAGTATCTGTGATAAAATTTTGAGCTCGATCGGACCATTTTTTCGAGGGGTCGTAATGTGACTGGATGGAAACTGGAGTTATACAGAAAACTCATATAAGAACATCTCAGAAAATTCTGGGCAAAAATACATCGATTTTCTTTTCCAATGTTCTACTTCTGCTATAAATTTAGCTCAATCGGACGTGTGCATTTGGCAACAAGGTAAAAAAAGGAGGGGATACCCTTAATTCTTGAACGCGCTCGCGAAAAAGTGAGAACCAGAATCACCATCGATACCACAATTAACTGAAATAACATAAATTACATAAATTTATGTAAAGACGGGGGCGATTATTTGATGAAATCGGCCCCTGCTTGAATTCCATTGACACATATATGGTCGGATGCAGAATGAACAGGAGAACATTTCTAGCCACGCGGCAGATCTTAGAAATGCTCTCAGAAAGGTCGAATTTACTGTAACCAAAGTTCTACTCTTCTTTGTTCAACAGTGACGATCCTTTGCTCCACACTCGTCCACTAGCCACGGCGATACATATACCATTCGATAGAGAATTACCCGCGCTACAATTTCATATATACAAGGTAGTAAGAAAAGTGTCCTAGGGCACCTTGATATTAGAAATACTTTATGCAAAGACGTAGCAAGTGTGTGATTTATTCAACGGTGACGATTCTGTGCTCCACACTTGTCCACTAGCCACGACGATACGTATACCATTTGATAGAGAATTTCCCGCGCTACAATTTCATATATACAAAGTAGTGAAAAAAGTGTTCTAGGTCGGCTTGAAAGTAGAGATATTTTTATAAGCTGTTTATTTGAACGAGATAACATTTAAATGTGTTTCCTGTATCGTCAAAAGAAAGACATGCCGAATCATTATGGATGTATAGAGAAACACGGTCGATATGTTGTGACGGCGAATAAGAATCTGATACGAAAATGAGCCAGGCAATAATATATAAAAGTCCAGACACGCGCATAGAAAGAAAAGAGTTTTTCTAGGTAGGAACGAAATCAAATGACAAAGAGAAAGAGAAACAAAAGCGCGTTAAAAGAAAAGTACACGTTATTCTTCTTCTATAAATCTTTTTGTTGTTGAAATATAGTTTATGACTGCACGATGTGTGCATGAAAAATGTTCTTTCGAAAGAGATACGTTTAATAAAAGGAGATCAAGACTGAGGGTAGGAGTGTTTTTTATTGTTAAGATTTCTTTTGTAGAAATTGTTCTTTGTAGTATAACATACACTCCAGTGGATGATACTGAACTGTTGCTGTCTTTCCACGCGTACTAAAGTATTTATTGAACGATGAAGTACTGATCTTTTTTTCTGCACCAAAACAAAGGGATATTTAATTGATATTGGCATCATTATTACTAAAATCCAATAAATATGGTCCAATACAAGAAACAATATAACCTGAAGTTGGCAACAATTAATTGATGCACAAGCTATTGAAAAATAAATCTTTAGATCTTTAATTGACGAGTTCTGAAATGTTTGTGAAAATAATTTAAATTGTTTTAACTGAGCATTAACCATTTCTACGACCGATCTGATTTTGGTAATTAAACACAATTTGTTGGCTTCGATAGTTGTGAACTGCTTCCGCTTAGAAATGGTGGCATAGCAACATGTAATCCCAATGCATGCATTACACCAACACAATTTCGGAAACCACGAATATACCATCCTACGTAAAATGAAAATGGCAGAAAACATCAATGATACATATCTTTAAATAAATCATTTCCTTTTACTTCGAAAATCCAATCTAATATTTTTTCGGTATTGTTCATAAAATATCTTTCATCATAGATGCATCATTATTACTAAAATCCAATAAATATGGTCCAATACAAGAAACAATATAACCTGAAGTTGTAACAATCATCATTGGTTTTAATAAGCTTCGATGTTTATGCAAATTGAATGTTCTTCGCTGATATTCATTGTTTCGTGACTTCTAATAATACGCAAAG